CTTGAAAATTGAAAGGGTTGTTTTAGGATTCTACCTGTGGTGTTCACAATCAGATGCTTCCATCCGTTTCTTCTGTCACAATTATTTATTTATTTATTTATTTGCCGCATTTATATCCCGCACTTCTCACCCCAAAGGGGACTCAGGGCGGCTCACAACAAAGGCACAATTTGATGCCTTGAGTACATATAAAATAAAATAAAAACATATACTTTAAAATCACATAATTAAAACAATTACTTAAAACCACACAATCCAAAAGCATATTCCAGGAGCCATTCCGATTGTCACTTGCATTTTTCATTATTGCACTGAGAGATCATTATTGCTTAATTTTATTCCTGTTTACTCAGAGATAAGCACCAGGGCTGTAGTCAAGGCGGGGTTATGGGTTCAACCCCCCCCCCCCCCCATTTTTCAGGTTTTAAAAAACTGGTATATTAATGAATTTTAACTGGTTAACCAAATCCCTATGCTAAGTCTATGAGAAGCAAAAATTAAACGAGTCCCACCAGAACTGCAAGCACTATCTCAAGCAAATTTTGACAATTTATACATACTATCATTACTTGCAGCAATAGCTGATATAACCAAGGTGGTCCACCCATAACTGGCAGGCAAAGTCTAAAGCAGGGGTCCTCAAACTAAGGCCCGAGGGCCGGATATGGCTCTCCAAGGTCATTTACCGGGCCCTCTCTCAGGGTCAAGCCTGAAACAACCTGAAAGCACACAACAACAACAATCCTATCTCTTCAGCCAAAAGCGGGCCCACACTTGCCATTGAAATACTAATAAGTTTATATTTGTTAAAATTGTTCGTCATTTTAATTGTTGTATTGTTTTTAAGAGGTTTTGGGCACTACAAATAAGATATGTGCAGTGTGCATAGGAATATATTCATATATTTTTTTCAAATTATAATCTGGTCCTCCAACAATTTGAGGGACTGTGACCTGGCCCTCTGTTTAAAAAATTTGAGGACCCTGGTCTAAAGCTTTGGGGGCTGGATTTGAAGGCCCTCATGAAGGAGACCAGACTTGGTGGGGGCAGTTGACAGGGGCAGAGCTATTTGAGGCTGCTCCACCCTCCTACTGTGCTCTTTGCTCCAGCTTGAGGTAGGAGGTAGGTTCCTAATAGGGAATTAGCCTTTCTCTCCTTGCTCCCTCTCTTTTTCCAGATAGTAGAGTTCCCATTGCTATGCCTTTGCCCCAGGGAGACACCCTACAATTTGGGCAGTTTCTGCCATTGGCATTTATTTGCAAGGATTTCCCAGGAAACCACAAGGGCTGGGCTGGAGGCTTGGGTATTGTTCCCTTGAGCTGGGACCGTTCTGGAGGGGGCCATGTGTCTTTCCCTTGTATCTCAGAAGCTTTCCAGGTTCTGCTTGCTTAGGTTCATGGCCTAACAAATTAGAAGGCATCAGATCTAGTCTGTTCTGGAAGCTGTGTAATCATATTCTCTTGGCCTCAGAGCAAGGCACCGACACACCATTGGAAGTATAAATCTTCATTATATGGCCAACTGCTTTGGGATGGGATAGAAGAATTTGACCTATGGTGTAGAAAATGGAAAAAGACTGCACCTGCAGAAAAGCCATCAAATGCTCGGGAAGCATATCTTGTCTGTGATAGACATTTTTTTTCCAAATGTGAAGAAACTTCTTCAGATTTCTGCAAAATTGCCAGTGTCAACACCTACAAATGAAAGGTCACTTTCAATTCTTAACTGTTTGAAAAATACTACCATTATACCTCTGATTAATAGCTACCATCCGTATCCGTGCCCTGTTTGCCCCACCAGCTCAATAGATATCTTGAGCAATTGTTAATCTATTTGCCCCCAAGGAACTGGGAAATTGATGCTTCTGTTCAATGTTTGATGTTTTGTCATGTGTTTGATATAATAGATTGCATTCTTTATTTAATTTTAGTTGTTAAGTCATAATTTGTTTTTATATGTTGGGTTGCTAAATTTGGTTGCTATGAGTGTGTTATTGTTGTGTTCAGGCATTGAATGTTTGTCTTTTATGTTTGGAATCCACCCTGAGTCCCTCCAGGGAGATAGAGTGGAATATAAATAAAGTTTTTATTACTACTACTACTACTACTACTACTACATATATTACGGTACATAAGAAGCATAATGGGGCAAGAAACTGGACTTGCACTCTTGAGTGTCCACTGAAGTTTGTCAATGGGGCCTTCCCAGGGCGCTTGTGCCCCACTTTGTGCTGCTCAGTGACCGTAATAAAGTTTTGTATTGCATTGTATTGCAATGGAGCCCGATTTCTGTCAAAGTGTATGGACACAGTATTCAAGTGTTTCCAACAGACGTGGTATTCTTTTGTAATTATAAATTAACAATTAAGAGTCACTTCCAGTTATTTTGGGTCTTGAAACTTTGTAACTAAAATAGAAAATTGATTTAATTAAATCAATATCCGTGTTTCTCAACCTGGGGGTCAGGACCCCTGGGGGGATTGCGAGGGGTTTCAGAGGGTCACCAAAGACCATCAAAAAACACATATTTCTGATGTCCTTGGGAACCCCTTTTGCAGAAAAGGCTGAAGATCTCTCAGCCTGTCCTTCTCTTCCTTTTTGGAAACAGATGTCGAATCCTCCCACTGAAAGCCCTCCTCCACTGTGATTGGCTGGCCTCTCAGGTGGCCCTCTCACCCAAGGGGAGGGCTGTTTCTGAGACTCCAAGTGAGAAGGGGTGAGCAGGTGTGCTTGGCACATGACAGTGTGGTGTGCATGTGCAGGTGAGGGATAGTGTCCCTCCCCCCCAAACCCTGCCAGTATTCAAAGTTAGTCATATTGGTTATTTGTGCCAAGTTTGGTCCAGATTCATCAGTTGGAGCCACACTGCTCTGTCCAATTCTATCGTTGTTGGGGTTCAGAATGCTCTTTGATTGTAGGTGAATTATAAATTCCAGCAACTACAACTTCCAAATGTCAAGGTCTATTTCCCCCAAAGTCCACCAGTGTTCACATTTGGGCACATTGAGTATTTGTGCCACGTTTGGTCTAGATCCATCATTGTTTGAGTCCACAGTGCTCTCTGGATGTAGATGAACTACAACTCCAAAACTGAAGGTCAATGCCCACCAAACCCTTACAGGATTTTGTGTTGGTCAAGGGAGTTCTGTGTGCCAAGTTTGGCTCAATTCCATCATTGGTGGAGTTTAGAATGCTCTTTGATTGTAGGTGAACTATAAATCCCAGCAACTACAACTCCCAAATGACAAAATCATTCCCCCACCAGTATACAAATTTGGGCGTATTGGATATTTGTGCCAAATTTGGTCCAGTGAATGAAAATATGTCCTGCATATAAGATATTTAGATTATTTATTTATTTTTCATATTTGTATCCCGTCCTTCTCATCCCTGGAGTGGGACTCAGGCTGGCTGCACAACAGGCATTCATTCAATGGCAACAACAGTAATAAATGAGAAAAGCAATTAAAACAATTCATTAATGCTTTAAAATTATGAAAACATTGTTTAAATCATGCAGGTTTGAAATCATAGTCCAAGTCGGTCCATTGTCATTCACACAAATTGGGGCTCATTCTAAATTGCTGCCTCTACTCTTCGAATGTTGGTCCCATAACCAGGTTGTGAGTTTCATTCTAAAGGACAAGAGGAAGGGGTCAAGCTAATGTCACTGGGTAAAGAGTTCCACAGGCAAGGGCCACCACTGAGAAGGCCCTGTCTCTCATCACCACCAGTGACATTTGCAAGGATGGTGGGATGGTGGGACCAAGAATGGAAAACGGAATGTTGGTGGACAGGAAAAGAGATTTAAAGATGGGCTCAAAGCCAACCTTAAAAACTCTGGCATAGACACTGAGAACTGGGAAGCCCTGGCCCTTGAGCGCTCCAGCTGGAGGTGAGCTGTGACCAGCAGTGCTGTAGAATTTGAAGGCCACAAAGGGCGAAAGAGAGAAACGTGCCAAGAGGAAAGAGAGAAACGTGCCAACCCTGAGCAGGACCGCCTTCCACCTGGAAACCAATGTCTTCACTGTGGGAGAAGATGCAGACCAAGAATAGGGCTCCACAGTCACCTACGGACACATGTCCAGTACACTGATCTTGGAAGACAATCCTACTCAGACAATGAGGGTTCGCCTAAGTAAGTAAGTAAGGGACCGAGAGCAGGGCCTCTCCCATCAATCTTAGACTTCGTGATGGTTCATTGCAGGCGATACGCTCATAACATCACATTCATAAGAGTAGCAAAATTACAGTTATGAAGCAGCAATGAAAATAATGGTTGGAGGTCATCACAACATGAGGAACTGTATTATGGGGTCAAGGCATTAGGAAGGTTAAGGAACACTGGTGTATATAAAATATAGAATGAGGCATACTATTGGAATTGTTTTATGTTTGGGATTACTCTTCATGATTTGCTAAAAAAAAGTTCACCCCCCCCCCCCCCCCCCCCCCCCGATTTTGTTTTCTGGCTCCGACCCTGGGAAGCCCCACAAAGTTTAATGAGACTTCTCCGACTCCAACTAAACAGGGCACAGCCTTCAAGTTTGGGGAAGGAGGGCCCTTCTGCCCGCCTAAGGTACAAGGCTTCTTTGAAACCTAATCACCTGCCATAAAAAGCCCAGCTTCTTTTCCACCAGGAGTCTTGGCGGGGCTTTAAACCCAATCCTTACGAGCCTGGGCTCAAGGTGTCGGGGTCGTAACGGCGGGGCGGGGCGGGGCGGGGCGGGGGGAGGAGAGAGCTTTCGTTTCCCAAAACCAACGGGTTCACTGAATTCCCCTTTTGGAACATAAAAGGGAAAGAAAGCCCTCCAGCGGCGACGTGGTCCTTGCTCGCGCCCGACGCAAACTTCACAAGGGCCGGCCAGATGGTCCTCCACTGAGGCCGGGCTTTGATCCCTCCTGGGGGACACGCCGACCCCCCTTCGAAGGGCAAACACTGGACTTTTGGAAGCCGCAAGCACCCTCGTCCCCCTGAGGCAACCCTTCCCTTGGACTCACCCGGGGTCCCGTCGCTCTGTGAGGATGAACCTGTGGCCACGCCACCAGCAGCAGCAGCAGAAGGAAGGGCGAGCCAGAAGCCATGCTCCCGGGAGGATGCCGCACACGGGGCTCCGCTTGTCTCTGGGAGGCAGGACCAGGCGTGGAGCTCCCCTCTCGCCCCCTCTTTCATATATAGAGAATATAATACTGAGGTAATAAAGGCGGCGAGGCAGCTCTCCTTCCCTCCCTCCTTCCTTCCTTCCTTCCCTCTCTTTCTCTCGCCTCCCAAACCCGGGCGCGCGCTGCTCTTTCCAGCTGCAACAGGTTAATTGCGCTCAACTCTGGCCATTGAAGGGAAGGATCCCCCGCTTATAAAGCCGGCAGCGCCAGGGGGCGGGGTCAAGGAGATTGATGGACAGGCGGGCAGGCGCGCGAGGGAGTCGGGAAGAAGAGAAGAAAGCGCGCGCCCTCTGAGCCTCCTCACCGGCTGACCTCCCTGAAGCTGGGATAAGCTACAGTTTGATTGGGATTGGGAAAGGCATAAGGCAGGGTTGTATACTCTCACCCAACCTATTCAATTTGTATGCAGAACATGCCATGCAATGTGCGGGGCTTGATGAATGCAAGGAGGCTGGGGTAAAAATTGTCGAAAGAAACATTAACAACCTTAGATATGCAGATGATACCACCATGGCCGTAGCCAGAAAAAAAATTCGGGGAGGGTTGAAAATTTCGGGGGGGGGGAGGGTTGAAAATGGGGGGGGGGGTTAGCAAAGAGCACAGCAGGTGCAGAGCAGCCTTCAATAGCCTGCAGCTCCGCCCCTGTCAACCACCTCCACCAAGTCTGGCCTCCTTAATGAGAGCATTCAACACCCCCCCCCCTCTACAACTTGGTTGCTTCGCTACATCGGCTATTGCTGCAAGTAATGACAGTGTGAATAAATTGTCAATATTTGCTTGAGATAGTGCTTGCAGTTCTGGAGGGACTCTTAATTTTTTGCATCTCATAGACTTAGCATGGGATTTGGTTAACCAGTTAAAATTCATGAGTAAACCAGGTTTTTTTTTAACCTGAAAAATTGGGGGGGGGTTGAACCACTGACCCCCCCCCCCCCCCCCCAGCTACAGGCCTGCATCCCAGTAACTACAACTTGCATATGTTAAGGTCTATTTTCCCCCAAGAGCTCCTCAAGAGCACCCCTGGGCAAAATGACCTATACTGCAAATGCTTACTTTGCGTAATGGGTTGAGAAGCCCCTGAGAACACATCATGCAATGTGCGGGGCTTGATGAATGCAAGGCTGGGGTAAAAATTGCTGGAAGAAACATTAACAACCTTAGATATGCAGATGATACCACTCGGCCTCTCGGCTGTGGAGCACCCTCCCCAGGGATATTAGATTACCCTTCTCCCTCTTGATTTTCCAGAAAAGAAAAGTGAAAATATGACTATTTGAACAAGCTTTCAGAATCCAATGCAACGGCTCAGACGACAATTTATGGACAATGAGACCAACAATGAAGGCATTGGTTGTATATGTTTTATTGAATGTATTTTTAATTCTATTAATTATATATTGTTAGACATCAAATGGTGCTGCCTGGTTGTAAGCCACCTTGAGTGACCTTTGGGTTCAAGAAAGGTGGGATAGAAATATTGTAAATAAATAATATTTAGGGAAGGCTGAGCAAAGGAAGATAGATGCTTTTGAACTGCAGTGTTGGAGGAAAGTTCTGAGAATGCCTTGGACAGAGGGAAGATCCAACCAGTCCATACTTCAAGAAATAAAGCCTGACTGCTCATTGGAGGGAAGAATAGTAGAGGCCAAGATGAAGTACTTTGGCCACATCATGAGAAGAAAGGAAAGCTTAGAGGAGACAATAATGCTGGGGAAAATGGAAGAAAAAGGAAGAGGGGCTGACCAAGGGCAAGATGGATGGATGGTATCCTTGAAGTGACTGGATTGACCTTGAAAGAGCTGGGGGTGGTGACGACCGACAGGGAGCTCTAGCATGGGCTGGTCCATGAAGTCACGAAGAGTTGGAAACGACTGAACTAATGAACAACAACAAATAAATAATAAATAAATAACAATCATGTTTGTTCAGAAAGGTTTGCCACTGCTTTCATCAGAGATTGCATCTACACCAGGCATGGGCTAACATCGGCCCTCTGGGTGTTTTGGGCTTCCACTCCCACAATTCCTAACAGACTGGCAGCTGTTGAAGGCTTTCATGGCCAGAATCACTGGGTTGCTGTGAGTTTTCCGGGCTTTATGGTCATGTTCCAGAAGCATTCTCTCAAACACTTAGAAGTGATTTATAGCACAAAGACAGTGAAGCGATAATTAAGGTCTGTGCTCCTGGACTTCATAGAGCTGTTCAAGAAAAACAAGTAATCTTAGTTGATAAAAGCTAAGGAAAGTGTTACAGATGCTAAGGAAAACATGACAGAGGGGTTCTCATTACTCTATATGAAACATGTACACACATTTATAAAGAGCTGGATGCTTTTTTGGTGATCCCTTGCAATGTTGAAAATACAAGGGTTATCCAGAAAGTAAGTTTACAAGATTTTTTTTAAATACAAAGAATGAATATATTTTAATAAAACTTACATGGACTGTAGCATAGATATTACATGATTTTTCCCCAAAATCACTATTCAGTTCAATACATTTTGTCATCCATGGGATGAGTTTTTGATGCCTGTGTCATGAAAGTTTCCCTCCACCTTTTTCAGCCAGTTCATCACTTCAACTTTCACCTCGTCATCATCAGAAAAGTGTTTTCTACCAAGGTGTTCCTTCAATTTAGTAAACAGATGATAGTCACTGGGTGCAAGATCAGGGTTGTGAGGAGGATGGCCTAAAACATTCCAACCAAGTGAAGTCAATAACTCTTGTTATGCGGTATGCAGAAGGAGACAGACTCCCACCATCAGCATCAAACAACATTCGTTTTGGATGGTTCTATGAAGTTTCTTCATGGTCTCACAATATATTCCACACCCATTTTGTCACATACTGTCTTGACATTACATCCTCTTCATAAACTGAAACAATTTTGCGATGAATTGCAGTGGCGTTCATCTCCTCTGAGGATGTTTGCCATAGATGTAGGCGAAACGTCAGGAGAAATGCCTCTAGAACATGGCCATATAGCCCGAAAAAACCCACAAGAACCTACATCTCCTTAGTGTTTAGGTAGCATATTACAGCACATGCTTCATAACTGAAGGGAAACAGAATGAGGATACTCATCTCTAACCTTCACCACAACACCAGTCGATGAGCTACTGACAACTGGCACTGCTCATTCGCTTCTGCTGGCTTCCCACTACATGGCAGTGATACCAACTTCCCCCACAATCTGCTAACTGATATAGCAGAGCCAGTACCTGCAAGGTCAAACACCCAGAGCATTTTTTTTCAAACAAGTAGGGAAAATGGCATTTGCCACCTCCATCCACACTTTCCTGTTTCCTGTGATTTCGATTGCAATCTTCACAGCAAGCATAAAAAGGAAAGGGGTTTTCTCTGCCACAATATACAATTGGCACATCATATTTTCTCATTTTATATCAGGGGCATTATATTACTATGCTACTGTCTATAATGTGACTAGATCACCCATGGATTTTGATATTCAAGGGGCAGGGTGGTGATGAGAGACTAAGTAATGGGACCAAACCCCAGGGGTTAACAAAGGCCCACTGTATTGTTATAAGCCAAGCATGTTGGAATATAAAGCATCTGAGGGTGTTTTGGCCTTTAGCAAGCATAGTATTTTTAAAAACTGCCAGAACAGGGTCTACATCGGGTGTCTACAATTTGGACTCTCCTTGGGGTTCATAGCTGTGCATACTGTTGTGATGAATACCTGCACATCATAATTTACCACTGTTAATGAACACACTTGTTTTGCTCTTCTGCATGAATATATAATATGGGAAATATGGAGCAAATATGGAAATAAACTAGATGTGACACATAAGCAATTCATCTGTGTGTTTTTAGATGTGTTGATAGTAAGCCAATTGAACTGGGACCAAAGCAATGTGAAAAGACAGGAGTTGAAGATTTCCCTTTGCTTCTTGTCACAGCTGTTATCACAATTTTAAAAAGTAAGATACATCGGGACCTCCTGTTTATAGCATTTCTGAAACATTAGGTTATCCCATAGATTTCCCATGCATAATGAATACATTGTGGGCAATCTTGGGTGCAGTTGTCACACTGAAAGAGCGATACGGGAACATGAGAGAAGCCTCTCACAAGAATGGTAAAACATCAGAACATCCATCCCCTGGAAACGTCCTTGCAGACAGCCTATTCTCTCACACCAGAAGTGACTTGCAGTTTCTCAAGTCCCCCCTGACACGAAAAAAAAGCTGTGCAGTATAAATCAGGCTGCCACACTTGAAACTTTGCATAAAACGAGGACAATAATTCAGAGACAGGGTGGAGGAGAGGATATACTGTCCAATCTAGGATATTACCACCCTATATCCTCAATATAAATTACCATATCATATACTTGTATATAAGTCTACCTCATGTATAAGACAAGGGCATATTTTGAGGTCATTCTGTAGAGAAAATACCTGAGAAAATGTATTTTCCCCTTTCTTTTGGCATCCATTCTTTGCAAGATTTTGTGGAAATCATCAGACTCCATTTTCTATCTACATAAGATTCATTGATACTATCCATTTTTGGTAAACAGACACAACAATGAGTGGAAATTAAGTAGCATAAGTGATTGGGACTGTAGCTGCAAAATATTTACAAGATTCTTTTGCAAGATTTTCACAAGGCACTTGAAAGTAGCAATTTGTGCAAATGACTGTGTTTGAAATTTCAACATGAGAATGAACCATTACTGGAATTTAAAGAAGTTTATTAAAAAGTATAGTAATAATCTAGGGTAGTGAGTTACACTAAAATAATGTATGCTTATCAATGAATCAAAATAGGAATGCCATATTAATGACTGGAACTTGGGGACATAAGAGAAACATTTAATTAGGATCTCTTCAGTTCTTTTGGGAACAAGTGTCTCCTTTTTACTTTCCCCTTAAGCATTTACACTGTTCCTGTTGTCACTTCCCTTCATCAGCCAACATCCAAGGGTCAGAAAGGATTTTTGACCATAATCATCCTCTATGCATTCATGACATGTGCTCCCAGAAGTGCAGTACCAGCATCGAAAAGTCAGAAGGTAAAGGCCTCTTTCCATGGACTTGGTTTTAATTTACTGGTTTTTCTTTTAAATCTACACAGAAACTAATAAAAGCTGTAAGTTGTTTAAAGGGCCTTGAGCCACTAGTTTCTTCACCAAAATCCACATTCTTGAGGCT